TGACTGGCGGCTGGCTGGCTGGCTGGTTGGCATGATTATCCCGAGGTTTTATCGTTAATACAATTAACGCAAACGGCAAAGCCTGAATGCCAACAATGCTTGCCGATAATCTTCGATCCATTAATCTCATAAACAGCTTTGTCGTAATACTTTTTAGATCGTAAACCTAGATACGTAGAAAAATACCCTATTAAAAAAATGCATCTAACATGTATGTATGTATCGCCAAATTTTCTCGACACCGCTCCATATACGTTCTGTTCATTCCTATCGCGATTATTTATTTTTAGTCGATTATTCAATGATCTAAAGATCTATATCCCATTAGTTTCGAATATCGATAAAGGAAGTAGTACTTATGCGATTTACTTGTACGTGTTTCGCTTGTTTACTCGGAATTGAATATATACCTATGAATCAGTGTCGCTGTTTAATACGTTATGGTTATGAGTTACGTTATAGAATGTCCTCTCGTAATATTATTTTTATTCCGACTTACTAGGGAATTGCGTATGATGTATTTACTGCTTACTACTAATGATAGTTTATTCTGATTTTTAACGAAGCTTGCATAATTTGTTATACAGAATGGTGCTGGTGGTAAACGGAGTCCTACAAGAGGACATTCCAACGGATAGCAGATCGCTGTACGTAGCTCATCCGGTATATCGTGAAACTGCAGCTCAACTTCGTTCGATGCCAGCAAAATTAGTGGGACCGATGGGACTTCTTTACGTACGTCAAAGGGAAATGGCCGCTACTTTGCCACACGACAGTAAATATGAGCCATTTCATTCATTTGTACAACTCATGTAATTGACCCCGATTTTTCTGTGAGTACATATACCTTTATGCACGTACGTGCGTGCGTAAGAAAAAAAATAAGAGAGAAAAAAAGGGAATATTTAAATAAAATATAAAAGTACTGCATTTCTACGTACACCGTATCATTGCCGCCATAAGTTACTAACTCTGGAAATCAGAAACTGTTAACATACATTTATAATAGAAATGTTTATGTTTCATTGTTAATTCCATATTTGCTAGTTGACTCAAAGGCAGTGCCGTCAATCACACCGTGGATCATGCATGCATATGTATGTACTCATATAACCGACCCTAGTTTAACAGAAAGCCAATATTGTCGCCTCTGATGACAAATCACGTGTATAATTAAACAGCGTAATCCTTGCGTACTATTTTGTATTTGATCTAACTAACGAGAAAATTACCCTGCAGTAATGCCTGTGACTACATAATATTAGTTGCAGCGATTTGTACTGGACTAGATGCCGTCTCCAGTTTGTCTTATTCGAGAATTTTCCGAAAGAACACACTGCGCATTTCAGTATTGAAAAATAACACAAATACATGTATATGCTATGCGAACTAATATACCATCAAGAGAGAGACTAATAGCCAGTCAGACCAAAAAAGAACTGAGTAGATTTAGCGATACTTTAGCTCTCGTGCGAATAAAACAAGCCATTACTAGAAAAAGCCGTCAGTTTTAACATTCTCCGTGTCTCATTCGCAATCATTGCCTTTTTCTTTAACTCCAATCTCATTCAGAAACAAACGAATTGCAAAAAGAAAACAATAATCTATAAGTCCCGAAAATAACTAAGTTTAGCCTTTTATCTCTTTATTCTTTTGTTTCAGAAAATGTGAGCATCATTGGCTCGGATGATATGACTACCTGTATAATTGTCGTTGTGAGGCATTCCGGTAAGCCCTACCATAAGGATTTCGATTATCGCTTAATTGCACCAATAAACGATGACAACAGTTCGATACACGCGGGCGTGCAAACGCACGCACATTCATTGAATACGTTTGTGAATCAATATGCGATTTAGGTTCCGGTGCTGCCGCGTTAGCGCACCTGGATGGTGCTGGCACAGAAGATGCAGCAGCAGCAATGATCCAGAGGGTAACAGAACTCGCCCTTGGATTTCCAGAGGGTCGTCTGGAACTACAACTCGTTGGTGGTTATTCCGATCCAAGAAATTATTCCGAAGAATTGTTTTGCAATATTCTTTGTAAGTTTTTTCTCTACCGCTACCACCACCAACGCCACTCCTCTTCCCCTCTCCCCGGTCATTCTTTTTTTATCATTTCTGTTTAGATAAAGTACAAAAAACGTTGCATTTCTTTTAGCGGCATTTCACAAGCAGCCAGTGGAGATCGATCTAACTATATGCTGTGTAGGCGAATTGAATACTACGATAAGAGGTAGCACTCAGTGGCCGGTAATATATGGTATCGGATTGAATGTAAAAACGGGCGAGATTTTCCCTGCAACTTTCCCCGACAAGGGACCCGATCAAGCGCTGAGATGCGCTAGGCATTTAACCGGAGGTCAACAGGTGGGTACGCGAGTATTTCGAAGGAGTCGCAATATGTAAATCTCAATTCTAAGTACGATTTTATTACGCACACCTTTAACCTAAATTACTTGCAACGCATTGTTAATAACCATAAAGGATTGTCTATCGTTGTGTAGGTTCTGGATGTTTACGACTGTACGCTTGGTTTACTTAGAATCGGACCGTTCAACTATGATCCTTTGAGAGGAGTCGATCTCTGGTTAGCTCAATCCGATCAGTTTATTCTACAACATCTTTCGACTGCGCCGGAAGTTGAACTGCCACATTTTGTATCACAGGTAATGCGATGCAATCGATCGAACGATCACAAGATCAACATTGGATAAATGTTTCTAACCTGTCATTATACCTGATTCTTTTTCATTCATGTTCTTCGAAATGTTCTGCCTTAGGTACGCGCAACACTCAAGTACATACAGGACAATCAGTTTCCGGCTGTCACCGTCTTCCGTGATAATCGACCCCATTACTATCGCCGGGATGAAACCACCGGTGTTTGGCAACCTATACGATATTGATACCGAGTATTCGAGTTATGCGTGAAGGCTTATATGAAAGATATTATTAAAATGACGATTAGTGAAATTTTCATGATAATACAAGATTCCTATAGGGTTCAAATAATTCAAATAATTCAAGAGTAACGGAATGAAGAATTTTTATTATGAAAAATCTGCATAATAACATGAATGGTACAATGATTGATTTATATCTTATGTTTTACCTTATTTGGTATTGCTGATGAAACATGTGTCTTTCGTGCTTATTTTTTTTCAAAATAGGGGTCCGATGTCGCTGAATGCGATATAACGTGATTTATAATTGTGCATGGTTTATAGTTCTATTTCATTATTTGCTATATTTAGCCCCTTACCCTACGATTTAAGTTCCAACAGCGCGTGTTGTAACCATCGGCAGGGTCGGTCAAACGTCAAGCTATTTAACGGTCTGATTGAACGTTCGAAGTTGTGCAAAATACTACTAATTTTATGCTGCAAGATATTTCATAAATAATCACTACCAATTGATCATCGAACAAGATTTTTAAGGGTATCTTTCTAATATTTTTCAAGAAAATATATCTGCGCGTTCAAATGCGGTCAAGAAAAGAAAAATGTTTGTCGCATGTACACGAAACACGCACCACGAATCTAGCTCGACGTTGTAGGTTAAGGGGTTAACGATAAGACATACCACGACAGATTTAGCGATGTTCGCCACTGATTTGAAAGCGCAATAATGAGAAAAAAAGAAAGGGGTAATGAGACAATTTTCCTTAGAATAATACTTTCGAACGATTATTATTAAGCGCGGTAACTTAAGAGTTTGTACTTTTCGAGAGAGAGAGAGAGAGAGAGGAGACAGACAAACAGACAGAAAGACAGAGAGTGTAAATGAGTGATTGAGCGATTGACTGTTGAGTGAGTGAGTGAGCGAGTGAGAGAAATGTGGTTGTTGTTGACTTTTGCTCTTTTAACTTTTATTTTCTTTTCCAAGAAATTTTTATATTAACTACACTCGCAAACTGTGGTTATATATGTACAACAATTTCAATTCGAAGCGCTACCTTCCAGATATACATATATATCTTCTTTGGTGATTCTTCATCTTAATATTAGTACACAATTGCGACCGGATATTTTACTTACAATATGCATTTCAAGAAAATATAAAAAGGCATTGCAAGATTGAAGTGATTAAAAAATTTGTTTATATTTGCACGTAATATGCACGTGGCTTTTGCCTCGATTTATGTGCACATCCACATACGTACACGAGCTCTCTTTCTTCCTTCCGATTCAAAATAGATAAGTTACTGAAATGAACATTCGGTATATTTCATAAAAGCGAAACATACTTGTCCAAAAGCCGGAAAAATCGCATATATTGATGTTACGCGCAAAAGAGATACCTTATTAACGGGTAAAAAGATAAAGGGAGGAAGAGAAGGAAGAAAAGAAAAAAAATCTCACAATCCGTTATTCGAATGCACGCGCGCGTATATATTTACACACGACTCTTTCATATTACTATTCTCTATTCACTACTCACTTTTTCAAACAAAGCTCAGAAGAGGTATTCCGCGGTAATAATATTAGGTAAAATTCATTTAAACATTCAGTTCGAATAATTTCCTTATGTAAGCGCTTAGGACTTGAGGCGATTTAATGTACAGATTGTCGGTTATGTTGGGAAAGAAATAAATGAAAACAATTACGCTTATTCTTCGCTATGGTGTGCTATGACTGAATAAGAAAATAATAATTCAATTTCATATAACAATAGCAAACTATCTTCGCCAATCTTCATTATTTTAATGATGGTGGAACAGTAACTGAGAGAAGTAAAACAGTAACTGTAAAGAAATTGTAGAAAAATCGAAAAGATATATATATTTTTTACTGCATCACATAAACAGAGGCGTAAAGTCTCTTAGCTTTGCGATACTTGAGATAGTAACAACTACATACATAGCACTGACATTGATGATGCCGTTGACGTCGTTAATGTTGATATATATTACGATGTAAAGCGAGAAACGCTTAGAGAAAAAGGTTTGCTAGGGAAAACTGTGTAATAATTGTTCGTCGTTCCAATTAATAATATTTTGCTGACAATTAATCGCTTTCATGTTTACACTGTACAACTTTCTTTATGACGTAGTTACAACCTTCTATTTACTTTGATTTTACTCCCTCATTTTTCGTCTCTTTATGTTAAAATTTTCATTCAGTTTCTGTCTTTTTATTTTCTCTTGTTACAAATTGCAAAAATGATTTTCTAGTAATATTTTGTGGTTATATATTTATACAATAAAAAATGAATTAAACATTTTCCTAATAATTGCATATCATTCCACCAACAAAAAATCAACTTTTTAGAAAAGAACCAATTCCAAATGATTAATACATTTGTAATACAAATCTATTCCTTCATAATATGTTGCAATTTTTATTTTGTACTCACGATTTACTCTATCGTACGTCTTAAGGGACATCTGTTGAATTATTAGAAAGAAATACTTCTATCAATATTTTTATTCTTGTTTCACACCCGAATAGTTACCAACGATTCGCTTTCTTTTTCTACCTGTATACGATTGGTTAATAATTGCATTACAGATACATCACGGATTAATGTTTCGATTTTTTAAATAAACTAAATGAACCTGAAATTATGAATTACACATTAACATTAACAAATTTATCATTGCTCAGCATACTTATGCAAAACTCTTGTGAGAGCATTCAATGCTGATAATCTATCAAGGGCAACTTTAATGCGTATCTGTAGAATTTTTTGCACTGCGTTTACAAATTTCAAAGTAGATGACACAAGTATGTGTAACAATATGTATAATACAATATTCATAAAAAGCAGTTAACACGATATAATAATAATAATAAAATGTGTAAGAGTATACGTAAAGCATACAAAGAAAAAGGGGAAGAAAAGAGACCAAGGGACACGATCCGTAAGAATTTTGTATTTATGTATGTATAGGTACGTATAGGTTAAAGTTAAATGATGAAACGTAGGTAAAACAGGATGTATTATTCTCTTGTAGATAGAAAATTTATTTAACGTCTATTATTGATAATCTTTACTTTGATTATTGTCTAAAAATGGATTTGAATTTATCAGTATGATTTTGCAATTATCGATGCAGATGTAAACTTGTCTTTTATACTTATTATTGACACATAATTGTTTATTTCGTGTTATGGAAAATTAATTCTATCTCATTGTATTATGTGTCCTAAGCGATTTTTAATTAATTTAATCTGGAGAAATACCAGAGAGTTATGTAAGGACTTTAGTCATCGATAAATGATAATTCAATGTTGTGAAAATACTCGATCTTGCACTAAGTATAGTTATCCGAAATTATTTAATGATTTAAGGGAAACGCACATACATAGATGGCGAAATATGCTTTTCATCAAACACTGGCATATTCAAATTGTACCTGGTTTCACGTAGGAAGCATCAGGATATTATCACAACATTACTTTATCATACATATGTACATATTATTATATAAATTGTATTATGATTACAGAGCGTGTGATATACAATAATATTATTGAATATTAATAATAATTGATTTTCCTATACTTCTTTATATTATATTTGTCAAATTGCACGCATGAAACCGTAATGAAAGGAAGAAAATGAATGTTCCATTATACAGGCACAATCGACCGCATTATCGGAAAATAAATAATGCTGCGCACGCTCCTTAAAGGGAAGTTGATTTTCATAGTACCCGGCAGCTAACGCAAGTCATAACCATAACAGAACGCTGTGAGGGGGTTGTTCAGTGTCGCCTTGACAGCAGCCGGAGTTGGAGTTGAATCTGTTTTTCTTCTATGGTATTCATGCGCGTTGTCTAACAGCTTAACCAACGATCTACTCTATTATACATCTTAGATTAAAATCTACTACTGATTATATTTTTCTTCTGGTAAGTGACGTTTTTCATATTTTTCCAATAATTTACAAATAATACTCTCCGATACTGATTATTTTTGGCACAGGTATACACATTCACGTGTCTGATCGAATGCAATATATATGTGTTCTGTATTTAATTTTCACTTTATTCATTAATTTTATCCTACTTTGATAAAAATAGAAAAATAGAAGGGATCGAGATTTAGTAGAACCAAAAGATTTTTTACAATATCATTGCAACGTCAACCCCTTAACCTACGATTTACGTTCGAGAATGCCCGTAATATTTACGTTTGGTCCGATCATCGTACTACGGGCTATGCCCGTAATATTTACGTTTGGTCCGATCATCTACTGCGGGCTATGCCCGTAATATTTACGTTCGGCTCGATCATCGTACTACGGGTTATGCCCGTAGTTGTAGGTTAAGGGGTTAAACATACATGTAAATACATATAAATTATGATTGTCCGATGCAATGAAAAAAAATTTTTTTTTGAATTACCTATACATGTATACATGTACATAGCATTTAGCGATAAATCGAGGGGACATCAACAGATATGTTTCTTCAGTTTCTTCGTCTGGATTTATACAATGATAACTAATCTTTACTTTTATTTTTTAAAATTGTTACATATATCCATTTTCCATATTTTAGTACATTTTATCGTTCAACATGGCTAATATCATTTTACGATTTCGTCACTGTTACGTTTTAATTTTGTTTTAATATGTGTACTTTCTCTTTAAAGTGTTTTTTTTGTAATTCTATATATTCCTTTTCAAAAATATAAACAAGTGTTTGAGTTTAGAACCTATAAAAATATTAGAGATTTTTAAGGTTATGTACGTTTTTTTCAACTATATGGGCATTATATATAAATATAGTCGCATACATAGTATGTATGCATGTTTCGTATAGACAATATACGAGTAATATAAAACATAAAGTTAACTGAACTTGAGATATTTTTGTGAGAAACTACATGACATAAAAAATCAGTGGGGATTATAATGTAATTAACTTTGATTAAAAGAAAATTAGATAATCATTATTTTAAGTTGCAAGATATTCCAATTGAATAAAACAATTACTTATTATAATTGCGTCGTTCCAGTTCGTAGATCAGTGCAACTAATATTTTAGAGATAATAAAACTAAAATAAATTTAATTTTTAAAGGGAAAGATTGGTTGTATAGAATACTTTTCTTGACGAAAACACAGCGAAGTAATCTGTTTTTCGTATCTATATTTCTCATGTTTCATTCGCTTTATCAATCAGCAAATATCAGTTTTCGAATTAGTTAAATTCAATTGTCCGAACGTTGTTCGAGTTTAAGTTGTTTCTTTCATTCAACAGAAGAAAGTTAACGAAAACCTGTCTTTTTATTTAATAAATATTATACATTTGCTGGAAAAAACCAATTAATTGTAAAATGAGAAGAGAAAACTGCAGGAAACAAAGAAAATAATGAATTATTAGTAGCTTTTGCGACGATACATATACATATATACAACAAAACAACAATGATGTATAAAACAAAACATAGTTTGGAATGTCTAATTTTCTTGTATGTATCTACATAGTATATGTGTAATTATACAGGGTGGTTGGTAACTGGTGGTACAAGCGGAAAGGGGGTGATTCTACGCGAAAAAAGAAGTCGAAAATATAGAATAAAAATTTTTCGTTTGAGGCTTTGTTTTCGAGAAAATCGACTTTGAATTTTCGCTCGGTACGCGTGCACTTTATCACATCTCGTTATAACGGATCTCACTGTAGATTTTTAAAAAAATTAAAAAAAAATAAAAAAAATTTTTATTCTATATTTTCGACTTCTTTTTTCGCGTAGAATCACCCCCTTTCCGCTTGTACCACCAGTTACCAACCACCCTGTATATTGAACCTTAACCGTAATCTTGAAAGTTTATCATATTAGTTAGTGTATTATACGTACCTGCCGCTTTTAATACCATCCTTCTAGAAGAATTCGTGATTTTTTTATATACATATTGCCACTTTTTCTCGCAAACACACACTTTTTTCGTGCCTTTCCTTTACTTTACCTGTTCTTCCCTCTTTATTAAGGGATCACGGTTATTCCTGATCATGTTCAGTAAATAGTGGGCTCATCTACATCGAAAATCGAATGTGAGACCACCCGATGTGTTCATTAACCTTAAATCGTTACGCGACACGAAACAGGTGACGTGCATAAAATAAATGTTTTAAAAAACAAGTTCTAATTATTACGTCATACGGTGGACGGAGGATCGACCTTTGACATTAATGCAGGGCCGATAATTGTTTCCGGTTGCCTTGCGCTGGAATTGATATTGAAAAAAGGAAATAAAGGTAATCTTTAGAACAATTATTTCAAAAACATTAATATTATACTATTTTACTCATTAACTGCATACATATGCATATACATATATACATACATACATATGTATACGTAGACATTTTTCCTGAATAACGTTGCTCTTTCGAGATTTTGGAATAAGTGCCGTGTACCGAGCGCCGAGTTATTCAACCCATCGTCAATCGTCTGCCGTCTTGTCACAAAATTCATTACTTTCCTCGCTCCATAAACAGATCCTTCTAATTGTAAGATATCCTTATGTGTCACTACACACTATACGCGTTGCGAGACACCGCGGATAATGTCGCTGCGTCATTGGGTCATTGGTCATACGTGCGTATTTCCTAACGACCAATTAGGGGAATATCGGGCTTATTGACACCCGAAACTACAACACAACATCTGCGACTCGTAGAAGCTAAACTCGTGGCTTTTGAGAGTCCTTAACACGCATCGTCGTTACCTTTATAGAAGACGTAATGTTAACGTAAATTCATATACTAACAATACGTGCTTCAAATTATTTTCGATTTTAACTCATTTACTCGGTACATTGCTCGAAAAAAAAGGAAGAAATAGGGAAGGAAATAGTTTGTCTTTTGAAACAGAAATCCGGTCGTGAGTAAACCAATCGATGTTAACAAGGGTCGAGTAGAAAATTCGACACAATACACGACAATTTTTCCAATAAATGGGACCGTTTTGGAAGCAACAAAAAGAGAGAAAGATTAAACCGTTCGAGATAGGACAACAGAGAAGGGCGCTTGGCATAGAAATAGATCGGCTAGCAGCGCGCGTATCCTGCCTTTGATCGTTTCACGGCAGATCAACTCCAATATATGAAGAGTATGCCCTTAAATCTCTGTTATACACGTGTATTTTTAGCGCTTGAGTCAAACGACTCACGCGAAATGGTCACAAATCTGTATTTAATTCCCGTTTCTGTTGTGAACGAGTAACGATACACGTAGCAAATGCAGACACTGAACTCAATAAACACATAATGGGAATTTGTTTTTCAAAGTTGCCATTAATCGGCAATATGGAAAAATAAAAGGTAGTATGCAAATATCAATTGTTGGAAGGATATACAATATGTACATACTATTTCGGCTTGGTATTCTATTCGCATGTATACTCCGTTTTATGCAAAAGAAGATTTGCAGCGTTCATTCGATCATTATGTTCTTCGACGCAGCTATGAACTTTTGACTCAAAATATTATTTTCTCGACAAATGCTGACAATGAGTATTCGCATGTATAACTCTATTAACGATAACAGCGTTAATAAAATTGAATTTGTTGAATTGAATAACAGAAAAATTGAATAACAGAATTGAATAACATAAAATTGAATTTGTTTCGAAAATGGATTAGAACGAGATGGTTAGACCGCGCAAACTATTTGATGCATCGTCCTTAATTTATCGACAAAATTTCGTGAGATTTGTTTCTTCTTGAATCAAGGAGAAAATCGATGAACAAATAGGGTAAGCGTGTAGCGAACGGAAATAAGATGCATTTGGTCTCTACAAAGTTTGTGCGCGAACAACTCGCGAACGGCGAGGCGTGGCGCGGGACAACGGAGTCGTCCATTTGAATATCTATCGCGATGATACGAAACGCCACCTCTCACCGCATCGGTTATGTACCAACCAACACCCCCTTTTACTTATATACTTATTTATACTTTATACTTGCACTCGTACTTTACCTGGTGCTACTGCTTAACTACGATTAACCAAGTTATGCATTCGGATCAAATCAAGATGTATCCTCGACAAATAAAGTACTATACTCTGATTTATTATAGTTCCTTAGTTTTCACGATGTGGCCACAACTTTTTTACACTAGTATTTGCGGTATTATATGTACATTTAAATCTATAAATGTATCATATATTCTGTATCATATGAGTATACATATAGGTACATACATACATACCCATGTCGTGTGCGTATGATGTATGTATATACGTAAACGTACTATTGTATACCAGTGGTGCGTTGCATGCATTATACTCTCTGTATCAATTTACGTCGCGCAACGTCGATTTTTTAGCGATTGGAAAATTTTGGGAATGTTTAACATTTTGCAATTCATCAAATAATAATATGTATTCCGATAACTGATCTACTTACGGGAAAACATATGCTTCAAGAGAAAAAGTCAATGGTCTTTTCGATAATCTAAAATAATTAAATAATAAATAATTTAAAAGATAAATAAATAAATAAATAAATAATTGAACACCGATAAACTGCAAGACGCAAATCATCTCAACGATATAGAATAGATACAAGTGACATTGTTTGCAATTGCACAGTTTTCAATTTGTAGGATTGCAACATTAATTAATTTTAACGTACTGATAGATAATAATAAGAATGAATTGAGCCTATTAACGAGAATCCACTAATCATTTTTATGTTTTCGTTTTTAGTTTGAAATCATTCAAACAACGGAACGTTTTTCATACCAAAAGTTTCCGTTGAAATTACATTAATTAAAAGATATACATCAGAGTATCGTACAATGATCACGAGCGATAAACCATGAAGCATAAAAAAGCACCAAAAATATGCAAATGATTTGATTAACTGAATATTTAATATGGTAATACGTATTTAAGCCAATTTTTCATATATATAACTAATAACAAAGATTTTTCGTTGATATAAGAGGGAAAGAAAAGTTGCAAACAAGTTGCTAGGTATTGCAGCGTGTTCGGACTAGCTCTGACAAACATAACGAGAAATAGTGTCGCAAAATTAGTTTCAATTGATAGCATATTATACGTAGGTTTCAGTTTCTTGGCTCACAACCAGATCCTTATTCATATAATATATTACATGTATATGAAATATATATGTGTGTTTTGATTCTCTGGCATTCGGTAAAACTGGCGTTTCGATCGATCATACAGCTTGCGAGACGTTGAAAATGCCTCTTTTGTTTGCTGTTCAAGTTTGCATCGTCGTGAATCGAATATAACTTCTATGCAGCAATAAATGTATCGCTTTACTTACACTTATTTACACGAAAATTAGATGTTTTCTCATATAAATGATATACCACACATTTTGTGTCTATTAAATCGTCGATGAATTCAAATATACATTCTGTGTTTATTGAAGTTTCATCCGATCGATATTCGTCTTATTTTTTTTCAATTATTTTAATTGCATGAAATAAATACAATTTCGCTGATCGAATAAAATATAAATTTTGTTTTTAGCTGACAATGAGATTGGAATGCTGTGTAAAAAACATACTTTTACGATGCCAAGACGAACGAAAATTGTGAAATTAATTTAAATTGTATCTAACGTGGCGCATAAATTGCTCAAAACAAAACAAAAAGAAAACGAAAAAGAACTGCCGAGAAGGGAAAGCAAGCAGAAACAAGAATATTACACATTTACCAATGGCTCCTTGAATTAGCATTTATCTACTTTATTCGCATTCGCATTGTATTCCTATTCATATTCGTATTCGCATTTGCGATCTCGGAATCAAATTACAGCAAGTTAAAGAAATTTTGTAAAATGGCCGATCATGAAAGAATCAGATTGGTGGTATTAGGTGGTGCCGGTGTTGGGAAAAGCGCAATTATACGTCGTTTACTTGGGCAAGGATTCAGCGAAAGGTACAGGCCTACCGTCGAAGACCTCTATTCGAGGGAATGCGTTCTCGGTACGCTCACTCTCAAAGTCGATCTTCTGGATACCGCTGGTAAATGTTTTCTCTTCTTTCGCCATCTAGCGTTGCGTTATATATGTAATATATATAATATAATATATATATATAATACATACGTATATATGTATTATAAAAATGATAAGGACCAACATAGATAACGCATTTCATACGATTTCAGGAGATTTGCAGTTTCCAGCTATGAGAAGGTTGAGCATAGCTACGGCACATGCGTTTCTTCTTGTTTATGCCACGACATCGTTACCAAGCTTCGAATGCGTAAAGCGATGTTTCGAAGAAGTCAGAGAACAACGACCAGATTTTCAGGTACCATACTGAAAATAATATTGATTTAATAAAGTGAGAATATCATTTAGGAGAATATAAAGTATTATTCGTATTTCCACATTGACTGTGCGGCAGGAAGTACCGATAGTCGTTGCGGGAAACAAAGTGGATCTTGCAACGATGCGAAGAGAAGTACCAATCGAAGACGTGAGTGAATGGTTATTTTGTGAATTGCCGAAACTTCGTGCCAAAGTAATGGAATGTTCAGCTAAGGACGATTATAATGTCAAAGATATTTTCCGATGTTTCGTCACTTTATCCAAGATAGTGCCAAAGAATCATGTTGGAGAGTCAGACGAATCGGCCCTTCGACGAAGATGTTCGGCGTACGGATCGCGCAGGTACTCTCTCTTTTTCTTCTCTCCCCTTTCTTTTCTCTTCGTTTCTCACCTTTTCTCATTTCTCCTTCAGTCATTATCTTACATTCTTATTACGGTACTTTATCTGTTCTACATGCCGATTAACTTTGCAGCATACATATCGCTTTCTTTTCGTTACTCGTGACTTTCTGACTAATTATAAACAACAAATTTCCAAAAATGTAATATGTTATGCCACATGTCCGTATAGTATACGTGCAAGTACGTAAAACACACGTGTGTTACAATACAGTTGAGGAGATTGGAAGTAACACATAAACGTACGGTCCTTATATTTGGAAAATATTACAATATCATTTACTTTAAATTGAATATATCGTCAATCGCAGTATTGTTACGAACGCCAAGGTTAAGTATCCCTCGGCTTTACTGAAACATTTTTCAAACAAACTAAAAATTGTAGCTCGATATCTGGTTGAATAAAGGTAAAGAAGATTATGTTTAACGCGTCGCGTAACGCTTTTATAATGTTACGAACCCTTTCCCAACATATACATATGTAGTGCTCGATCGTTACTTGATCGATTTCGCGTATTACAGAAGCGATCGAGTCGGTAGGTCTGGAAGTCCACATGGCAGAACCGGAAGCGCCGGCTCTGTTGGCAATTCTCAGCAACTGGTCGCAGCACAAAGTTCAAATGTCGTCACTGTCAATGAGGAAGCGAAGAGCAAACCGCGTAGTCGTAGCTTGATTCGACGCACTTCGCGGAAAACCAAACAACAAATTAGAGACACTTATACGGATGACTGCAATATCTCGTAATTTTCACCCTCTCTCCACTTCTCTCTCTCCACTTCTCTCTCTCTCTCTCTCTCTCTCTCTCTCGCTTGCTCGCGCTCTTTCCCTCCCCCCCCTCTCCCCCTTCTATCTATCTACAGTGCCGAACAAGATTACAAGACATTTTGCATATTTAAATATTTCGTATATTTAAGAGAAGAAAATGTACACTTTATACATCCTAAATGTTACATACTATCTCCAGAGTACAGACATAAAATCTTAAGTCCGTAATATGATATACAACGTAAAAATTAGGGAAAGAAATGTGAATTTGCATTATAATTTTGGTCAGACAAAATTATAAGATACCTGGCATATTTTTCATTTGACGATTTTTTTCAGTATTTTATCCGACTACGAGCAGACACAAAAATGAAATTTCATCATCTAATTATAATATTAGAATTTGTTATAATATTATTTAAAAGAAAAAGAAATTCTCAAATTTGTACTTCTTTTCTCACTCTTATGTTATAAGCACATATACCATATTATATGAACTGGTTTTGTGTACTCGCTTTGGAGATAATATGCAGCATGTAGGGTGTATGTATATTCCCTTCTTTTAAATATATGAAATATATGTACAAATGTATGAAATGTCTTGTAATTTTATCCAATACTGTAACCATCTATTTATCTATCTCTATCTTTCTCCACCCATTCCCTATTTTACTCACCTTTTACGTGTAATTGTTTAACTCTTTGTGTATATCTTGTCGCAAGATTCGCTAATGAAACGATATCATAGTATGTACTGCGAATCGTGTACGTTCGATCATTTTCGTTTTCGCATTAAATAAATAGCACGAATCTGATACGATACGTAAAAGCACTCTCATCTCGTATGCGATAGCATCTCATAAGATAGCAACAAAAAATATGCTAATGTCGATAAAAGATTTTGCCACTCTTGGTCGTATACAGTAATTATAAAAAAAGGACCAAATTTTCCAGTTTTAATAATTATAATGTACTTAAAAACAATATTTCACGTTTTCTCTCCTTAATTTTTTTATCCTTAGAAAAAAGTAAAAACCAATGGACCAATCAAAACTCATCCCACTCTCCCTCTTCTCTTTCCTCTACTAAAGGATTTTCATTTATTCATATTTTTTATCTATTTTAAACCAGTCCGTCCGTTTATACGTTGATATTTTCACATCTTAAAATGTGTAACAATTGTCCGTTCGTCAAAAATTGTCTGAAGCACTTTATATCATTCTGTCTTTATATGCGTGTACGCACGCATGAGTACGTATACTACTGCGCGTACGCTACATATTGAATACTATGTGTGTTAAATTTAAAAATGTGTATACACCATCAAAACAGTCCGATATCGGTATATGGAAAGCGTGGGACTATTACGTATGGTATATAAAACAAAACTTTCAATATTTATATCAAGTCGATCTTTTTAAGTGATCCTGCTTCAATTCTTTCACCAAGGATGCAAAAGTTGTACTTACTAAATATTTCAGCAATGTCGACGAATAATGAACAGAAGAATATTTTTTCTATTAAATGTCCTGAGGGCTACTTTCATGAGTTGAAACATATATAAATTTAACTATGCATATTACGGCAGAAGTGTGGCCGTGAATCGTGTATTGCATATCGTGTTTTGCATTAAAAAGAAAATTATTGTCGTAACGATACAAACAACACCAATTAAAGGACAAATAATCATCACATATCGAAACCAAATGTGTTTGGAAAAAACACGAAATATAAATACGACATGTACAATTTTTTAACAGGCTGTATTAGTTACACAAAAGTTGTTGTAAGTACTACAGATATTATATTCCTAATATAATTATATATCTAAATATAATTAAATACGCGCGGGTGTATGTGTGTATGTATAATATATGTACAATACAAAAATATTTTACAAATGAAAATATATAAAATGAATAAATATGAAAACAGCTAAACAACATTCTAATTGTAACACATTATAACTTTTAAATACATAGTTGGTGTTGTTTCATATTACAATAGAATCGAATTGTATTATTATTTAAAGAATACAGAAAGAGCAAAAGCTCACGATGAAATTGTAGTAACATTGGAATTTGTGTCCGAATTACAACCATTATCGATTCCTTCAAATAAATACTTGTAATGTTGGATGTAAGGCTGATAGCGCTCCCCTTTTGTAAAGCCTGTAGTATTGTATAAATATAAATTACGCTGTTTAAAAAATTTGAAAACCGAATAAAAGAGAGTTGCGTCCTCAGTTGCCTTTGCTGCTTCCAGAAATTTTCTGTCAGACACCTGATCCACCATTCCAACTGATCGAATGTAACTAAAATTAACGAACAAGTGAATAACAAAATGACGAATCGATCTGCAGATCGAGATTTTCGATCGACTAATTTATCTCATAAACTACGTTGTATGTCATTCGTGTGCTGTATGCTGTATGTTATCTTATTACGGATACATGTATAACAAAAATGCTTAACATTTACCGTAGCGCTGGTAAAATGTATCCTTTCGATAAAAGAACTTCGATTATTTCTTCATGAGCATTTCCTAAACGTTTCAGCATATCCAGTGCAAGCTGATGAGCAGCTGGATACAGATTCTCTAAAGAGAGCAATAGGCACGCAAGAGGTTTCGAATCGGCAACTACATGATACTGTAGTAACTGGTGAAGTTGGTAGTATGCTTTACGCTGAACTAATGTTGTAATAACTAATTCGTGTAAATAATGCTGTACGGGTATACTGTGTTCCGCCAATGATCTAAAATGAATAACACAGAAAAATTTAGTTATAATATTATTCGCTAAGCGATCAGAAAAACATGCAAATTTTTGCTTTTTAATACGAAAGAGAGAGAAAGAGAGAGATGGGGGGGGGGAGATGGAAGAGAGAAAAATACCTGATATATTCTAAAAGAACCCATACAATCATTTTTGGTTCAATGGTATTTTCAGGAAATTTCGATAATATATAACTATATACATCACTTTGATCCAGCAGTAATTTATACTTGTAATTTTCTGTTGTCGTGCTTAAGCATTTTGCGTTATTTTGCAATGGAGTACCCATCTGAATAAGCATTATATATAATCAATAGAAATCAGAATAAATTAACTAATCAACTAAATAAATAAAAAGCAAATAAATAAAGCAAAGAAAAACAAAATTACATAATTACCTGATTTTGTATTTCGTTTTCTAAATAATTCCTATAGACGGAATTTAACTTGTTGAATATGATTGGCATATCCATTAAACTTACAGGCAGCTGCATCATAAAATTTTGTAGTACGTGTATCAAAATGTACTTTGTATTTGTCCGCTGCATTAAAAATTCGACGAGCAACACTTTGTCTGTGATAAGTCTCGTCAAAGACTCCAATTTTAATTCAATATACCTATACGTATATATGAAGCACAATCGTCAACAGTATTACAACAAATATTTTTACATTTGATTTTTACTGTATATATATAGAAGAAAAAAAAAGGTATTGTGCAACAAAACAGGTCATTACGCACCAGAGGCAACCTAATTTTGCATCAATTATTATGTTTGGTTGAAAGACAACCCAATTTGGCGAATCTGTTGGTAGAACACTACTATTAAGGAAATACATGAAAGATACAGAAACAACAGAAATATTATTTTATATTTCAATGTCTCTATCTCATTTTTGTTAAGGATACATAGTTGGCAAGGCTGATATGTTTCATTTGACAAGGTTGTTCCTGGAACTTTTAAACTATATGGTTTGATTGGTTTTGCTGGTGCCATGCTAGTATGATGCATTACAGTACCATCGCTTATGCCCGATAACATAATATCAAAAATCATGGAAGTCTACAGAAGCATATGCATATTTATCGTTTCTTATACATTTCATGTTTCAATGTGCATTGGTTTACTTACTTTTGTGGTTTGATGATGAACAATAATAAGGTTATCTATAACATTAATGGCAAATTTACCACTAACATCGAGTTTCAAGATATGACTTCTTTTGATTGTTGTCATTCTACTTGAAAAACATAAAAGAAGTATAAGATAACAGATATAAAGTTAACTTTAAATCAATTAATGACTATAAAAGACATACTTATGCACAGTATATATATATACAGAAGCAGCCCCAGTAGAACGATTAGTACCTGGTTGATGACGTAGCAAAATAATGCAAGGTATCCCATATAAAACTGTCAATGCCACGTCTCTCTCATAGACGGCTAATTTTCCTGGTTTTGCTGTACCAACTTCCACTAAAATGATTTTAATAGGGACAAATAATTTTATTAGGGTTATTCCTAAACAATGTTAGATTTACCACAATATTTCTTCATATACCAAGTGGGTTCCTTACCCTCAAATTTAGTTAATTTATGAAGATTTCCAGGTGTTACATGCAATGTCTGCATTTGATTTCCCACTGTTCCTGATGATAATAATACTAAATAACTTTGCGGACAAAATACAAACCAATTAACACCTAAACTTAAACATTTCAAAAATCTGACATTGCGTTTTTCAGGATTTACCTAAAATGATTAAATGCCTTTAATTATTGTGTATGTTACTGTAAACACTAATCATAGATTATATACAAATATTTATTTAAATCTTTTTCTCTTTTACTTGAAATAACTCAACACCATAATCAGTAACAAACAATATTTCATTTCCATGTGTCCAAACAAATCCCAATATAGTTGCATTTTTTCCTTTACATGATTGCGAATATTCTATGTTATCTAGTCCAGCTACTGGTGAATAATTTATAAATTCAACTGAAGAATTATTATGTTGCACTGCCAATATATTCATATCAGGAGAAAATTTGATAGAGATCACTGGACCTTTATCTTCCATTCGGAAACTTAAATTTTGATTTGGTCCTTTAACTAATACACCTGTCACACCTCCAGATCGAACAGCAAATACCTAAATCACAAATAAATTTTATTCACTGACCAAATTTCATTCTAAGATACAATCGATCATAGAAAGATTCTGGCACTGTACAAGAAGAAGGAAAGCTTTTGAGTTATTATTTATTATTGTCTAAATATTAAAAAAAATACTGAAAAAGCGCAAATTTATTCTTTTTCAGTCTATCTTTTAATATTTAGACAATAATAAATAATAGCTCAAAAGTATTTTTCTACTAGTAGCAATAGTATAACGTAATACATTGGTTGGTTGGTTCTTGTACATTTACTGAAGATATAGAGCTTAGAAATTAAAATTATACTATGTTCGAATCCTTTTATGACTGACTGTACATAAACGAAGAAAATCCACTTCTAACCTGTTGTTTTGAATCATCAAAGAAAACGTTTGTCAAACAGCTGACTGATTCAAACCTAATTGGATCTGAAGATAGTTCTAGATAATAATCATCATGAGCATCTTGATCAGCGGCTTCCATGTTTTTCAATTGCTCAATTAATTATAATCAATGCTATGTTTAAAGTTTAACAGACCTAAAGGACCACGAGTGATCAATTTATGTACAATGTACATCTGACTCTGACGTCTCTAACTACAGTACACTGTACAGCGTCACTATCACCCATTATATATATACGTATAATTATTCATACATACATATTTACAAAGTCCAAACATATTGTTTCGATTAGCAAAATTGAAAATCCTTTTAACGTCTTACAATGAAGTATATTTTTCTAAGTAGTATCTTCAATTTACTACTACTAAACTACTTCAACTGTTACTACTAAATCGATTATTTAATATTTTTCGAAATGTTGAAAGTTTTATTTTTCTCATTTATTCAAATAGTCTAAAAGTCCTAAAATTTAAATATAAAATATATATACATATACCACGGTCGTATATACAATCGTAATACATATATAGGTATAATATCAGATAACTTCAGAAGTATCAATGCATTTAAACAGGTTAAATATTGTATTAAATATAGTATGTTTGACGGTAGTTTGAAAATATTTTTCGTTAAAATTAGTTAATAATAGCAATCTTGACTATTATAATAAATATTTCATTTGTTGTAATTAAAAATGTTACACGATTTGTGATGTTTAATTTCAGATAATAAATCTTCACTTTAAAAAAGCTTACAAATCATATAGATTTAATCGACAACAAATACCTGAAGCACATACACACTATGAAAGTAAATAAAAATAAGGGAATTAATGCAATATCACATGGTAGAAATAGCTTCAAACATCAACATAGTTCTCTGAAAGTCAATTTAAGTTGTGCATCGTATCTAACAGATTCTGGTAATGATTCATTTGAACAAATAGATGTCCATTCTGATATAGATAATACAGTTTCTTATGATACTCCATTGAAAAATGTAAGCAAACATAAGCATTCTAAGATAAAAGGGAGTGATAAAAGCATAGATTTAATTGAAATGGATAATATAAATACAGTGAAAATGTCCTTAAATGTTAACACATCTATTGATTGTATAAATGACAATAACATATGTGGAAATAAATATAGATGCGAGAATTGTGAAGAGGAAAAATATGAAAGTTCTGAAAATAAACAAACAGATATGTTTGTAATAAGTTTTGAAACTGTGCAGGAAAATATAAATACTACTTCGTTACAAATGTATACATCACTAGATATTTTAAATAAAGTGCAAAATGATAATAATACAATTGATGATTTTCCTATGAATGCAACAAGGAACAATTTTGATGACGAACATA